TGTATTAAGCTCTTCAGTCTTATGGTGGTGTTCCTAATTTGCACCCCAGGGAGGCAGAAAACTTCCCTGAAAAGAGGGTCTTGTACTAGACTGCTGTTTTGTGCTAGATTGTCCTTGAATTCAGGTAAGGAGACTGACAGATTGTGAGGTTATGTCATATACAACGTTAAATACATTGTTAATGCATGATAAAATCTTGTTTCAAGGTTTGGCACTTCACTTTCTCTCTCCACCCCCCACTTATTTTTTTCTTTCAGTCTAGAAGCACTATACCTTAGAAATCTTGGCCAATATTTTATTTTCAGCCTTCATAGGAACACTGAAGTGGCAGTGCTGACTTTGAGAACTTGATTACTAGTATTATGAATTGCTGCTCTGTCAAATAAATCACAAAATTTTAGCTCTCACCCACTTTGGTTTAGACTTTCATTTTCTTCCTTTATCAGAGATTCTGAAAACACAAGAAACTGTAGTACTGGAAGATACTTCCCAATTTTTTATTTTTAGTTTTTTTCTGGTTCAGTGCTCTACTTGACAGGGCTGAATATGTTAGGATTGACCTTTACAGACATTCTTGCGGGATTTTGTTTGTTTGTTTTTTCATAATCCCACTACATAATGAAAAATTCTTTGCTGCAGACTAATTAGATCTCTTGGGATCATTCCCTCAGGAGATCCAGAGCGAATCCAGAATTACTGCCAGTCATCTGTTAGAACAACCTTTTATATGTCAAAAGACTGTCTATATTGTTGTGGTTTAACCTGGCAGCTAAAACAACCACACAGCCATTCACTCACCACCAGCCCCGACTCTCTGCGGGATGGTTGGGAGAATCAGAAAAAAGGTAGAACTCATGGGTTGAGATAAAGACAGTTTAATAGGACAGGAAAAAAAAGATAATAATAACAATAAAAGAATATACAAAACAAGTGATGCACAGCACAGTTGCACACCACCTGCTGGCTGATGCCCAGTTAGTTCCTGAGCCATGATGCCTCCCCAGCCAACTCCCACAGCTTTATATACTGAGCATGACATTGTATGGTATGGAATATCCTTTTGGTCAGTCAGCCGTGCCCCCTTCCAGCTTCCCATGCACCCCCAGCCTGCTCGCTGGCAGGGCAGAGCATGAGAAGCTGGACAGGCCTTGACTGCTTAGCAACAACTGAAAACATCAATATGTTATCAACATTATTTTCATCCCAATCCAAAACACAGGACTACACCAGCTATGAGGAATAAAATTAACTCCATCACAGATGAAACCAGGAGAGTACCCACCCCTTATTCTATACCATCTGCGTCATGCCCAGGTTCTACACCTTTCAATACATTCCCACTTTTTCTGTCTTTTGATACATACACAGAGATTATCATTCCCTTAGTTTGTGGACCATCCCTCTAAAATGTCTGTTGAGTTCATTCAGTCCATGACTTTGGGCTCCACCTGTCATAACAGTCTTTCAGGGCAGAAGAGATGGTGTGTGGTGTTGGATTCTTGCATGCTGAAGCTAGTCCTGGTTTTATCACCACTGCTCTTTGTTTGGTTTCATTAATCCGAGTGGTTCTTTCTATAATACTGTTAATATGGCATATAGTGACCATAGTAGTGATGATGTACAGTATTATATAGCAGTTTACATCATATAGTTCACATCATTGGCTATTCTCCCACAAAATCGAATCTCCTTGAGGTACACATCAGACTTCCCCATCTTCCTCATCTCCCACCAAGTTCACCCAGGTCCTTGAGCAAAAGCAATCCCATGAATGGGTTTGCCTTTGAATATTGAATTTGCCTTGAATGTTCAGTTGCCTTGAATTACTGCCTTCTGGGCAGGAATAACCCAGAGTGTCTTCCCCAGAATATTTTTTACATGCACCACTGGGACTTTATCCTCTTCTGCAGAATGCAAAAGTTTTGGTGGGGCAGGGCCAGCTCAAATGATGGATCCTCTGGTGTTTACTAAGCAGATGGCTTTTGCTAAATGCTTATGCCAATGTTTGAATATCCCAGCACCCATTGCTTTCAATGTACTCTTTACCCATATTGTTCAATTTTCGTGGAGGCTAGTGCATGCTAGGGGTTGTGATATACCCAATCAGTGCTGTGCTCTTTGGTCCAGTTGTCTATGAGGTTATTGCAGAAATGATTCCTGTTGTCTGACTCCATTCTTTCTGGGGTGCCATGTTGCCATAAGTCTTGCTTTTCAAAGTCCAGGATAGTGTTTTGGACAGTGGCATGGGGCACAGGATTATGATGTTTCCAGCCATTCAGTGGTTGCTTCTACCATTGTAAGCACATAGTGCTTGCCTTGGCAGGTTTATAGGAGTGTGATATAGTCAATCTTCCAGGTCTTCCCATATTTGTATTTCAGCTGTTGTCCTGCATACCAGAGAGGTTTTAACCACTTTGCTTCCTTGAGTGCAGTGCATGTTTCCCATTCATGGATATGAATGTGCAGTAGTGTCCATGGTCAAGTCCACCCCTCGATCATGAGCCCATCTATATGTTGCATTTCTTCCATGATGGCTTGAGGTGTCATTGTCCCACTGAGCTGTAAATAATTCACCTTTAAGTTGCCAGTGCAGATCCACCTGAGACACTTCAATCTTAGCAGCCTGACCCACCTGCTGGTGTTTTTTATGTTCTTCAGTGGCCCAACCATTGAGTACCTGAGCATCTACGTGTCATACTTTTACAGTCAGATTCTCCATCTGGGCAGTGGTATCTTCCTATAATTCAGCAGCCCAGATGGGTTTGCCTCTGCACTGCCACTTGGTCTGCTTCCATTGCTGTAGCCACCTCCACAGAGCATTTGCCACCGTTCATGAATCAGTATTAAGTACTGGCTGTTTTTTCTCATGTAGCAATATCTAAAGCCAGCTGGATGGCTTTCATCTCTGCAGGCTGACTTGATCCACCTGGCCCCTCAGCAGCTTCTGCAACTTGTCATGTAGGACTCCATACAGTGGCTTTCCACCTTCAGTGTTTTCCCACAATGTGACATGACCCATCAGTGAACAGGACATACTGCTTTTTGTTTTCTGGTAGTTTATTATATGGTGGGGCCTCTACAGCATGTGTCACCTTCTCTTTGGGTGTACCACCAAAATCTTTGCCTTCTGGCCAGTCCATGATCAATTCCAAGATTCCTGCTTGATTGGGCTTTCCTATTCAAGCCTGTTGTGTGATCGCTTACTCCACGTAGCATCAGTTGCATGATGTGTAGAGGGGACTTTTCCTTTGAACATCCAACCCAACGCTGGCAGGGTGCCAGGAGGAGCTGTGCTTCAGTACCAGCCACTTCTGAAGCAGCTCGAACTCCTTCATGTGCTGCCAGTATCTCTTTCAGTTGGAGTATAAAGGGCCTCAGACCCACTCTATCCCTGACTCCAGAACCCTAGGGGTTGACCTTGGGTCTCCCCTGATACTTTCTGCCAGAGACTCCAGGTAGGGCCATTCTCCACAGCTGCGGTGTAGAGCACATTTTTAACACCTTGTCCTGCATGGACGGGCCCAAATGCTACTGCATGAACTATTTCCTGTTTAATTAGTTTGAAGGCTTGTTGTTGCTCAGGGCCCCATTTAGAATTGTTCTTCCGCGTCACTCAATAGAGAGAGCTTGCAATCAGACTGTAATTTGGAATATGCATTCTCCAAAAACCCACACCACCTCAGAAAGCGTGTGTTTCCTTTCTGTTAGTGGGGACATAGCTGTTATTTTGTTGACAACATCCATTAGGATCTGACGATGTCCATCTTGCCATTTTATTCCTAAAAACTAGATGTCCTGTGCAGGTCCCTTTGACCTTTGTTTTATGGCAAAACTGGCTTTCAAAAGGATTTAGATTATTTTCTTCCCTTTCTCAAAAAACTGTGCTGCTGTGTTGCCCCACACAATGTTGTCATCAGCATAATGCAGCTGTTCTGGAGTTTCACCCTGTTCCAGTGCAGTCTATATCAGTCCATGGCAAATGGTAGTGCTGTGTTTCCACCCCTGGGGCAGTCAGTTCCAGGTGTAATGGGCACCCCTCCAAGGGAAAGCAAACTGTGGCCTGTTACTCTGCCACCAAAGTGCTTGAGAAAAACACGTTAGCGATGCCAGTTGTGGCGTACCACTTGGCTGCCTTTGACTCCAGTTCATATTGAAGACCAGTATGTTATGAACATTACTTTCATCCTAAATCCAAAACGCAGCACTATACCAGCTATCAGGAACAAAGTTAACTCTATCCCAGCTGAAACCAGGACAATATCCATTTAGCCTCCCTTGTCACACTAAACAAATACAATTCTTCTGTCTGCTAGTCATCCTATTTGACAAGATTTCTAAGCCTTTACCATTAATTCTGTCCTTCTCCAGACTCTAGAACTTGCATGTTTTTTTTTAAAATGCAGTTTGTAACAACAAAAAAAAGCATCAAAAGGTTATCTCTGGATTGCCTACAGGAGGAGAATAAAATCTAATTCTCATTAAGCCTGATAAACTGCTAGAGCCAGTTCTGACACAACTTAATCTAGTTGTGCTAACATCTTTTTATTACTGAAAAATGCCACATAGTCTCAGAAGTGAGCTATGTGAGGTAAATGTAAGGAAGATACAAAATGAAGTAGTGTAAAATGTTATTAGTCAAGCTGCTTAAAGTAATAAAAGTGAAACTAAACCAACTAAGGTAGAAACTCCTCTTTACCTACAACTAAAGCAAGACAGTATTTTCCATTTCAGTATTCTTGCATAGAAACCAATCCTCCACACATTTACCAAGTAATGTTTGCACACTGACATCATGGGTTCCTTTTTAAGTCATATATGTTCTTACTAACAGTTGTCTTTATTAGATGTCTAGTAAAGCTGTGGCTTTTAGGAAGTTCTATTGTTTTTAAGCTCTGATGGTTATATTTTCCGTTGGAGGGCATGGAACTCTCTTCTGATCCTGCAAAATTTTTTAATCTATTTAACATAGTGAAACAACTCTTTATTTTTTTCCTCAACAGGAAGTCCGTAAAGTAAGTGAGAGTATCAAGTATAACCACCCTTTGAGAAAATGTGTTGATACAATACTGAAAAAGGTAAAAAATTGCTCATCTTCAGCCGTAATTATTCAATTGGGAGGGTGTGCTTCCTGCATCTACTGAATACTTGTACATTATTTTCTTTTCCCCTTAACATAAAATCTCTAATTGGCATCTTGGGAGTTTCTGACCACACTTTGAGTTGAAATTCTGTGTGCAATGCTGTATTTTTACATATGTAGTATTTTATAAACAGAAAAATCTACACTTAGAGGGAGCTTTTCAGTTGCATGAAATGCCCCAAACATTTACAAATAATTAACAAAGAGCACTTGCTACTCCATCATCTTTCAGTTAATTTTCTCTTTTCCTTCCAGTGTCCTACTGAGTACCAGGAAAGAATGGGTAGGAACATGGATGATTATGAAGACTTTGATGAAAGACAGAACAGTTACCCAAGTGAAAAAAGCTTGGTCAAACTTCACAAGCAGGTATATTAATAAATGAGAGAATGCCTCATTTATGCTGATGTAATGAGAATAAATGCTAGTCAAAGAAAGATTTTCAATACACTTTACCCGAATTGCTGAGTATAGTGGGTTTTGGGTTTGCTACGTAAGAGAAACTTTTCTCCATGAAAAAAAACATAGAAGTTTAATATCCCAAGTGATATCCAAATCAAATTTCTGGATGTGTAAAAAGTGTCCATGCATTATATCTTGACAGTGTTTTAACTGTGAGTAAGCCTTGTAATGGTTGATTGACAGTGTGTTCTAAAAAAGAAACAGTAGTAAGAGCTTGGTGTTCACTAAGATGTAAAAATAAAGTGGTATGTTGGAAAAAGTAGGCTGTTGCTACAGACAGATTGTGATGAAAGAACTGCAAAATTCAGGAATCATATGTAGTGCTCTTATGATTTATATATTTAGAGAATTAACTGCCTGCTTTTGTGAATTTACAGAATTATTCTCTCCAGTTCTGTAATGTAGACATTTTAAGGGATTTTGCAAAGCTTTTGTCTCGTTTCTTGAAACAAGTATGTTGTAACCATAATTTCTTGTAATATATTATAGGTAATCTATTCAGTACAGAGACATCGACGTACACAGGTCCAGTGGCAAATTCTTTTAGAGCAAGCGTTTTACCTAGAAGATGTGGCAAAAAATGAAACCAGTGCAACTCGACAGTTTGTCCATACCTTTCATTCCCAGGAACCAGAAAATAAAATTATTCAGTATTTCTACACACCAACTGTTGGTAAGTGCTGTCCATGTAGATTTTGGATATGTAAAGGACTAACTGGTACCGTTTTGTAAGAAGAACTGCTTGTTTTATATAAAAAGTTTAGCTACAGTAGAGGGAAGCAAATATGCATCTTAATGCATTTATGTAATGGAAGAGCCATCAGGTTTTGATTTATGCTCTTGACCATAAGTTTAATGTTTTTTTTTTAATTTAATAGCAGTTACATGTTGTAATAGCAATAGGAACTTTGAAGCCTTAGAAGAAAGAAAAATAGCAGCTTTGAATTATTGGCTCATGGCTACCCTCTTGCACTTGTGAGCTATTACTGAGGTTAGCAGCACTCTTCCAGTAAAGCAAAGAGGAAACGACTCTTTGTCTGTCATGTACCAAATGTTAGGACATGAAGCTGCTTGTGCATCTTTTTAGACAATGTCTTCTCCTAATCATGTTTTAACTTCTAATTTGTTGTGCACTAGCAATGAGTTATTTCCAGGGCAGGACAATATAATTTTACAGCCTGAGCTTTGTTTCTGAGAGTAATAGATGAACAAACAAAAAGTGGATCACCCATAGCATCTGTGCCAGAAGTGAAGAGTTCTCTTCTACACCCCCATTCCCTCGCAATTTGCCTCCCAAATACCACACTGTTTTCCCCAGTTGTGCATACGATTCCTTAGGGCTGAGTCAGATCTCTAGGCATTGGAAAAGCCCTGAAATTACGTGTGTGACCTGACAATTGCAGCCTTGGTTTTAAGGATGTGCATGCAAAAAGTTCACAAAAGTTTTTGTGAGGGAGTTCCATTTCCGGTTGTGTAATTTTCATTAACTCATTCTGGATCTGTGTGTGTCTGTTTTTTCCAGAATGGTACTGGGAGTGTCTTCTACGACCATGGTTTTACAGGGTGCTTGCAGTTGTTCTGGCCACATTCTCTGTAATTGTTGTGTGGTCAGAGTGCACATTTTTCAGCACAAAACCAGTTTTATCGTTATTCGCAGTTTTCATACAGCTGGCAGAAAAGACATATAATTACATATACATAGAGGTAAGTTTGAAGTTCTGTTGAGTTTTCAACAAAAATGTTTTCAAATATATTGTTATTACAATAATAGTAGACCAGATTGATTTAAGAATAGGTCTCTAAATAATCATAAGATCTCTAAAATATATAATACCAAACTTTGTTTCTGTGGAAGGAGCTGCCTTTTGCCACTTCTTACAAGTCTCCAGTACGGCGTGAAGGTGTGACCCAGTTGAGCTGAATATCATGTGTAGAGTAATATGTGAAACATTACCTTGGAGCTTAGGTGTTTAGACTTTGTGTCTAATCAACCATGTGTGTGACCTCTCTTCCCTAAATAGGAATTTGCTGCTGACCAGAAATCCTGTCACAGGTGTGGCTAGCATATGTGTGCACAAATTTATCAGTAAAGGAACTGACCTGAAAAATTCCAGTAAACTAACAAGATAGGTTGAATTGAAAACACTTTTCTCATCACTTTTTGTGGAAATGTCAAATCTGTCATAGTTACTAAGGCAATTACAGCAATTTAATTTACATAACAAAAAGAAGTAGAATGAACTTTCCTAGAGTGTTGTGTTAGCTTATATGAAGTGCAGAATGTGACAAGTGTCATTCTCAATTTAAGTTAGTCAGAAACACTCCTGAAACTCTTCTTGGAGCTGGTGTTAGTGTCCCATCTCAAAATGAAAAATTAGACTCGTGAACTTGTTGCATGCACAGACTATATGCTGAATGCAGTAAAACCTTTATTAGAGTTCTACATTGAAACAAGTTTTCTTTTTCTACAGATGGCCTGTTTTCTTACCATCTTTTTCCTAAGTATCTGTGTTTACTCTACTGTCTTCAGGATCCGTGTATTTAACTATTATTACTTAGCTTCACATCATCAGACAGATGCATACAGTCTCCTTTTCAGTGGCATGTGAGTATGTGGCATATATTTTGCAGATTTTCTGTCAATTACTCGGTTGAAAATGTCCATGAAACTTTCATTTATATTCTTTCGTTTATAATCATATAATCATAATATATAAAATTCATTTTCAATCAAATCAAATTCAAATGAAATCAAATTCAAATTCAATGAAATAAAATTTATTTATAAGCATAATAAATCCTAATAATCTGTACATCATGATTCTGTGATATATCCAGTTATGATTTCTTAATATTTTTAGTGCAAGAAATCGTTTAAATGCTGTTGCCTCTTGCATTTTGCAGGTTATTTTGCCGTCTTACTCCACCATTATGCTTGAACTTTTTGGGCTTGACCCATATGGATGCAACAATCTCTCACAAAAACACTCAGCCAACTGCTTATACATCTGTAAGTACACAAAATGTGGGTTTGAGGCTTCTATATGGTTTGAAGAATAGGCAAATATTTTTAAATACTTCTTATTGTAAGATTCAGATATTAAAATCTTTTCACTAGTATTAAACAGAGTAGAAATACTTACTATAGACCAGGAGTTTGGTTATGATTGCTAAGCTACACAGCAGTCATCAGTCGCTCAGTTTTTCTGTTTTGGTCTCCATCATAAGGAAGTAAATTATTATGCTGAAGAGCTCAGACTGTTCTTCACTTCTTAACAGCTTTAGCTTCCACTGGGTTTAGTGTACGGGGCATCTTGATAGATTGAGAGCAAACCTAACTTGCCACTGAAAACCAGTGAGTTTGGTTTTACTTAACAAACAATTTCTGTAGAACAGCAGGTTACATCTCACATCTTTGTTCTTAGCAAGTAGATTCTTAGTGTTGTCCAGAGCCTCTTTCACAGCAGATGGAAAGACCCACCAAATTTGAACTGGTTCTGGATTAGGTGAGACAAAAAGATCTAGCATTTTAGAAACCTCAAAGTGGATACACTGTTAGAGGAGGCTTTTAGATCTGGGCATTCTAGGTCAATTGTCTGAATCACATCTGTGATGATAATATTTACCTGTGTTTCAGTAACTGTAAAAAATTGTATGTTTGTGTGTTGTGGACTGAAAATGGTGAGATGGCACAATCTTTATGGATATATGTAGAATATATCTGATTAGAGCTTGCTCTTGTGGTTTTTTTCCCCAGATAATGGGATCCATGAAAGTGCTGTCCTTCATTGCAGATGGATTCTATATATATTACCCAATGCTTGTCGTCATTCTCTGTATTGCAACATACTTTAGGTAAGTGGTTTGCAAGACAGATCCTCCATTTTTCTTTACATTAGTAATACCAGTTTCAGCAATGAGGAAGAGATTGAATTCCCTTCTTCCCGCAGTTGAGTTGTGACATATTAATAAAAATGCAAAAACCTAAACCAATAAATTGCTATTTATATATGTGAAATGTGTACATTTTAAGAATATTGATTATGTTAACTCCTGAGTTGTGGGGATTTTTCCCCATTAACCTTCATTCTCAGGTTTTGAGATCTGATCTGTTTGAACTTTGGAGCCCACAAACATTTAGATTCTGCTTTTGAGATTAAAATTACCACAAGGAAGCTATGTTTTCAGCAAGGTTTTCTAACAAACTAGGAAGCATATGCAGAACCTTTAGGTAATTAACTTTCTAATAGACTTGTAACCAATTTCTGATCCGTTACCAGACTTCTGTTTGAAAGCATAGTGGTTTAAATCGTTTAATCTTGTTTCCCTAAGCCACAGTTTGTTGGAGTCTGGAAGGGCAATTGCAGAAAATACTGTTACATGCTTGCTTTATCTTTACATTTCCAAATGTCTGCTTTTAACCACTGTAAGGGATGAGATACTTTGTCTGATGTTGCTCTGCTACATTTATGTTCACTTCTTCAATTTTGCATTACCATTTAGTGAGAAGTTATGTATATGTTTTGAGTCATATAGAATGTAGTTAAGCACCTTGAATGTCCTTTAATACCCTATGTGTATCCATAGATGGTAAGTCCTAGGTTTTCCTTGCTTACCTTTAGGTTAGGTGACAAAAGTGGTGGTGGAGGCAAAAAAAAAACAAACCACGAAAAGCAAACAGGAAAGCCAATGACAAGACAGTGGTTTGTGTGACTTCTTGTCCATGATGATCCTCGGCCTTGAATGCCAGTGAAAAGGAAGAAAAGAAAAGAAAAGGAGAAGTTGCTTTGGTTGAACTTTAATGCCCTCTAGTAATTCAGATACATGCAAACCTAAATATTTAATTAAAATGTATCAAAGAAAGCTGTTTGCTTTGTTCAGCAATCTTAAAGTTCAGATAGTACAGGAAAACAAACTTTTCAGCATAAATATGCAATGAAGCCAACACTGAACATGATATTTATACTCCAGTTTGGAGAGAGGAAACAATAAGAACAAGAGCAGTTGTGTTTCCAGGTGTGAAGTTGAAAAGGTGAAAGTGGTTTCATGCTATCTAGTTCCAGTACTAGCTTAAGAAAGATGGAGCAAGCTTGTTAGCTGACTGCTGTCTAATGGGTATCCAAAATGGCAGCCAGCATCCCTGCAGCTTACAGGTACATCACACATTTTTTCTGAGTAAAACCTGAGATGTAGCTGGCTTTCCTATGTTATTACTCTTTCAAAAACACAGAAATCGTAATAGGCAGAATTTTTATAGTAATTGTCTTCTGTCAAAGAATAGTCAATGAGATACCATAGGTATAAATTCTATTATATCTGAGAACATCTCAAGCAATTGTCTTATCTTAAATCATTTGCACTACTATAAACAGTTTTATCGCTCTATTTGAATAGGAATATTCCATCACTTTCAGTTGGATTTAGGAACGTGTCATTGTTCTGAATTTTCTGATTTCTCAGCTAGTATAATAATCTGTGTTCTATATTGCTTTTTTATATGAATTGTCTACAAATTTCTGAATAATTTCTTCTACATTTTGCAGTGTAATATATCTAAACTATTCATTGTAAATTAACAAAGGAAATTGCTTCTTCTGCTGCTTTTACCAGTTTAGGAACTCGTTGTTTGAATCTTTTGGGATTCCAGCAGTTCATGGGGGATAGTGAAATGACCTCTGATTTGATTGATGAAGGAAAAGAGCTAATCAAAAGAGGTAAGTTAGGTCCTCTGTCCTACTCTTCCTGCAAAATATAGTATGTTGTTGCATTAAACTTGTCTGAAATGTTAAACATCAAAAAACGACATATAGTTGGTCAATATTTTGAAAACTGTACTGAGGCAGTCTACTGCACAAAATGCAATAGACTTACAGCATTGTGGTTGCTATATAAACAGTGCTGGACTTTACTGACATCTGAAGTAAAGTATCAGCTTTATTCATCCAGTATCTGAATTTTAGATATTTCTAAATACTTTACAGTTCAATTAAGCGGTGTTCCTCTGAGATCAGTCTATTACTGATCGACTAATACCTGAGGACGTGCTTGCATAATCAGTCATAGAGGATAGTTATCACTTAAGTTGTCTTTGTCATCAACAAACTCATTTTAATCTTTCTTTGTGTAAGTGTTTTGATTGAGCTGACCAAATTCAGTCATTCCCTTTAGGATTTTTTTGCTGTTTCAACTATAATTGTGTTCTATCACACAAAGCATGTTGTTCTGTAGAGCTGTAATTATCTGTTGTTTTGGAGAGCTTTTTAATTTTCTCTTACATTAATTTTTTTTGAAACTGTTTCTTGAAAGTTGTTAAAAGCTTTTGCGGTTCTCGAGTAGATGTTTAGAAATTAAAATCTCTGGATACAATGATATATTATGGAATACTGTCATTCTCCTTTCATAATTTTTGAAAAATGCTACCTGGATTAATTTAGAGTAGTAGTGTTTCTTTTTTTGGAGAAAGAGGAATGTCTCTCATTCCCTTAAAAAAGAAGTTACTATTTTTTTGATACTGTGATGTTAAACTTCCAGCTAAATAGCAGATAAGGACACAAACTGTTCAGGTCATACTTTGGGCTTCACAGAATTTCAGCAACGTTTGGATTCAATAATGCTCAAGTTTCTTCTTAACGTTAAACTTTTTCTAGCTGTTTCTAGGAGTTTGGGGTTTTTTTTTGCTTTGCCAGCTGGTATCCACATGTTATGCCTTGACTCAAGATACCATCGTGATGAATTCATTCTAACAGGAAACTCCATAATGATAGACAAGCAGCTTTGTCTTCTGTTTTTATTTAATTGTATATGCCATCTATTTCAATAATAATCTTTGCTATTTAACTTCAGATTTTCATTGTCTTTGAAAAAAAAAATTGGTGATTATTTGTCTTGTGTGGAGCTCAGACAATTTTTTTTTATTTATAGAGAAACGAAAACGACAAAGGCAGGAAGAAGGTGAAAACAGAAGAAGGGTATGAGATTGTTTTAGCTAATTATACTATTATACAATATCTGATAGGATTTGCCATTGCTATTTAATTCAGCATGGTCTATTTCACCAAAAACATAAGCCTCCAGTAATTCATGGAATCAGTTTAATCTTGCAGAATAGTCTTGGCTGGGGTGAAAAATAATTTATGTTTTACTTTTAAATGGTAAGAGGGTGATTTTGGTCACACTACTGGGAAGTTTTTGTTCGTGTGCTGTGAGAATGGTGTGTGCTAATAGGTGTAACAAACATTAAAAAGGGTCCTAATTTCTAGGATGCAGAATGATCTGAAATGGATTATTGTCAGTCTCTTATGCTGATACTGCTCTACTTGAAATAACTGCAGCTGCAGTGTCATCATATTGACTGAAATGAGGACTGTATGCTCCTCCCAAACTTAACCATTGCTTTTTGTGCCCATTGGAAAGTAATGAGCACAGATTCCACCCCCCCAGAGGAGGGAATTGCATTTAAGACAGATTTAATACTGTTACCACTGAGTAACAAACAACAAACAGAATGTTTGATTCCAATCGTACTTTGAGTGCATACTGAACTGAAAGATCTGTGAAGGCAGTCAATCTGAATAGAAAATAATTCAGTCAGCTTCACTTTAAGGAGCTTCAGTTAACTTTAGCTTTAGTTTTTCATTAATTTATAACATTTGGAATTTAATGTAAAGAATCACAATCAACGAGAGAAATGGAAAGGATACATGCAAAAAATGAACTGACTAAAAGAAGGGAAAAATATTTTCTGCGGAAAGGCAAGATAATCAGACTGAAACCTAGCTTTTCAAGCTCAGGGCTCCTTCAGTTCTGGATGACAGCCAATACTGCATAGACCTTCTGATCCTCTAACCCCCATCTTGTAATTTTAGGACTTGATCTTATTGTGAAACCAAATAGTAGCAAATGCAAGATGCATTTAGTATACACTGAAATGATCTGACATTAAGCAACACGTTCAACAGCAAACTCAATTTCAGATGTTACCTGTTTTGTGAGTTTGCATTAAATACTATTGATTTCCCATTGATTCTTGAAACTTTCAGGGCTTTTGAGAGTTATCTTTTACTGAATCATGATTAAATGCTTCTTCTGCAGTGTAGGACTCTAACATATGGCATAAATTAGCACTGTAATTCTAAATGTACCAGTTACTACTAGTATCTAATCTGGGATCTAGATACGAATCTGAAACATGTTAAAGTTATTGCAGCAATTGGAAAAGTTTCTGTTGAGACATGTAGTTGTCTCCTAATAAAAGAATGAGATATTTTCTTCTTTAATATTTCATTATACTTCATACTAAAATGTGTACATACTAAAACATGATGGAATGGAAGAACAAGCTTAGTAAACATGGCCTGTCCAAATGTTTTTTTGTGCTACCTGCATCTGGTTACTTTACCATTCTGCCACTAGATGGAAGTAGAAATCAAAAAAAGCAACGTTCCCATTGTAACTTGGATAAGTTGAGTGAACTTCGAGTGCAGGGTTAATACGTAATTTGTTTTCTGCAAGTCTTTTTTCTAAAGAACAGTTATGGTAACCGGTTTAGTGAACGGACGTATCTTGAGTTTAAAACAAAACAAAAATTATTCCTGTATCAAAATACTGAGCAGGAACATTTTCAAAATATTACTTTCATAGTCTGATGTGACTGACCAATTAGTTCTAAATTGTGGGTCTGGAATATTTCTTGATTCTATGTATGATTTTGTTGTTACTACTTCTTCACAGCTCGCGTTTTCTTTTTTGTCTTTTTTCCAGGAGTGGAAAGAGCGTTATGGAAATAGAGACGATTCCACTAGAAACAGAGTTGTTCACACAGACCAAAAAGAATCCAGCTTCTCAGAGACCAATACCAGTAGACGTAAGCTTTGTGGGTTTTGGAGGGAGTTTGTTTTGGTTTGTGTTTTTAGTATTTTGTCTGCACAACACGGGGTGTCAACAAAGAGCCTTTATTTAGGATATGTCTTGAAGTTGAGAGTTTTAAATCTTCAAATTTACCTCTTCTAGTTGCAAATGAACTCTCTCAGACTGGAATAACGGAATAATCAAATAAATTATGAGAAATATAAAACCAATAACATGTCACACAAGTGTGTACATGTTCATTTAACACTGTTAGCAAAAAACTTTTTTGTGGATGTACTAAACTTCCAAAAAGTTTATTTGTCACAGTGTCTATGTTTTTTATGTATTTTATACGCTCTTGTAAGCTCACAACAAGTGAAAAATGAAACTTAAAAAAAGAACGAAAAAGAGGGAGAAGGAGGAGGCTTTGAACATACTTTTGAGACAACTCGGGTAGATTTCCCCCTCCCTCCTCTTTTACAAAGTTGGAAACCCAGATTTTCAGTGGTAGACTAATTGAAATTGTATAAAATTATATTTTAATGTTAACCATATGAATATGTAGCATTCCAACACCAAATCAAGCTGTAGATACTGGCATAATGAAGGTGGCAGAGTGAACTGCAAAACAACTATTACTTCATTAATTCCTGAGATTGCCTCTTTAAAAACAAACAGAACCAAACAAAAAAAAAGCTCCAGCTAGCTTAGTTAAAGTGGGAAGTTGGGAAGATGAATGGATATTGATTGATTTAGAAGTAAAGCTTGCACATAACTTCTCATTTTCTTTGATTCTCTGCAAACTAGATCTCATCCTACTTGAGGGGCAAAAGAAAAGTTATAGTTACATTGCTATAGAGATACCAAAAAGAAATAGTACAAATTTGACCATGTAACCAGATCTGGTTTCATATTGAATCTACTCTAAATCATCACACTTACACTTTGGATGAGATACTAGCAAATTATTATTGGGGTCTTCTAAGTTCGATGTCTTCACACATTCCAAGGTGTTCATAGAGGAAATTAGTATCTTTTGTTCCTTTTCCCTATTCAGCACTATCAAAGTATACCCGATCAAATGGTAGGACTGAAAGAGATAGAATAGAACTCCTCCAGGATGCAGAACCTTTGGATTTTAACGCAGACACAATTAGTGATGACCCCCTTGAATTGGACTCAGGAAGGTAAGGAATATTCTGTGTTACTTAAAATTAAACGGTACTAATGTCTTCTGACCTATGACAGCTCTATCAGATGGTTTTATAATAATAGTTTTGTAAATCAAATTTATCAACTCACCTAGCTCTTTTCCCTTCCTTCTCCTCCATGATATGGGAATTGTTTCAAAACCAATTGAAACCTGAAGGTTTCTTAGTTTTTTAGAAACATCTGAGTAAGATTTGAGTTGAATATGATTTTGCATATTGGCATAATCTGAAAAATACTGCATATAAAAACAGAAAACTGGAGGGTGACCTGCACATGTACGATACAAGCTTTTCTCTAGTTTTCTAGAAGAGTTTGAAACCTTACTTGATTTCCCTGTATAAAAACCATCATAAAGGGATGCAAGAAAGAAGACTGAGTATTACAGGACCAGTAGTTTCAGGAATACACCTGTGGATCAGATCTGGGAACTGCTGGAGTAAATTAAAATCTGAATTTATTGAACACAAAGTCCCAGGCTGCACAGTGTAGCACTGTTTATAATAGAGAATTCTGTGCATGTGACTGCAACATCAAATTTCCTTAGTTGTGAAATAGAGTACCTTATGTAACTGCTAAGCTCTGCGCATATTTAAGAAACAAGTAATTTTATGGGTACTTTTTAAATCTAGCTAGTTATTATGTAGAACCATGTAATGATAAATAATTTTAAATTCCCTTATAAAAAGTTGTAGTTTACATTATTTTCCAGCTAAAACTAGCATACCCAATTCAATAAAAATTCATAACTGGTTTCAGTTGACTTACATCTATAATGTCAACCAATAAATGACAGTTCAAAAATAGGCAAAGATGTTAATATGATACTAAGGCAAATATGTTAAATGATACTGCCAGATTTTACAGATTGATTCAGCAATGTTAGTTTGTATCAACAAGTAACTTGTCTAGTCTAATGTCACCACATTTCACAAGTTGGTTCTTTTTAAGCCCAAGAGTTTGAAGAGGAACTAGCCTAGCAATTCTGTCAGCTCTTGACTCCTATACAGTGTGAAAGGGATAATAGTCTACAAAACCAGGAATATACATATATAATTATTTTGGAGCAAATACTTTTCAGGTACAGTATCTGAAGTGTTCTAGCACCTATACAGACTTTTCAGAGTGGAACATTCTGAACCTTTTCTTTAAAAAAAAAATCTGGAGCCACAGAGCTTAGTTGAGATTTACTCTAGTAACCTGCATTTCATTTCACAGAGGTGATAAATCAAGAATAATTACGTATGAAATTTAAATTAACTTAAAAATAGCTTGTGTAACACTGATTTTTAGAACTATAGCTCCTGCAATAGTTACAAGCATTCTAGGACAGTAAAAGCACCAGGGACAGTAGGTTCTGCCTTTGTGTCTGCTCAGGTTTTGGTAAGTACTGTGGAGAGGAAGTAAATTTTAAATTTTAAAAATTTTTAAATTTTAAAATGCTTTTAAAATATATTTGACCCATAATTTGTGAAGCTTCTTTTTCCCCACAAAGTATGCAGCCATTTGTTTTCATTATCTTTGATACTGTTTTTCTTCTAGGAATACCCAATTAAATGTTCTGTTAATCACCATAATTACTTTTGGATGCTGTTGTTTTGTGGGGGTTTTTTGTTTGTTGTTTTTTTTTTAAGAAAAAGGTCTGTTCAACAAAAACATTCAACTTCCTTCCTTTGTATCAGGAAGCAAAGTTATTTAAGACTCCCAGTATTTGTATCATACTTTTTCTTGGTCACATGAGATTTAATTTAATGACTGCCTATCAAATTCTCATGGAAACTGTAATTCTGTAGAATTTCAGATTTTGTAATTCATTGAGAGTTAAGGAGTAAGAGTGCAGTAAGAGTTACATGATTTCATGGGTCTTTATTTTTCTTCTTCCTGTGATACTTTTTCATATCTAAAATTGATTCTGCAGGTACCAGCCTGGTGGAAGATACCTGTCCATGTCTCGAAGCCAAATGTTTGATGATGTCTAAACTCCTCAAAGCTAAAGAAAATTCAGTGGAAATGTATTTCCTATTCATTGCTTGGAAAATACTGTATTTATGATATATCAGAGAACCAGAAAAGACCATTTTTTGTTTAAAAAAAGAATATGAAGGAACAACTATTTTGAAGATGCACCTATATGATAACTTTACTACTTATGACAAGAATATGCTTCTTCTATTGTAGATATTGTTATGCATCAGTGTGGGCTTTTGTGTCAATGACCAAAAGGAGTAAACTATTAATGAAGTTAATAGAGGGTATTAATAAATATATCCAGGGCTCAGCTTGAACTCTAACATTGTAAGTTTTAGGAAGAGGATTTTTTGGAAGGAAGTTTTTGTATTTTAACAGATGCTATGAGAGCATCGTAATGCATCCAAAGTGCAGTTATATCAATTACTATAGTAAACACTTTCTATAATTTTTCTATTTGAACTTTATGCCTAGTCCAAAATCTGCTGAATTAAATGAAGGCTTCTTTTGGCTTCAGTGGTCTTTGAATCAGATTGAATGGCAGGCTGTTCTTCATAAAATCATAAAATACATGTTCCAGTATTCAAAGGGTGGCTACAAAGAAGATGGAGACTCCCTTTTTACAGAGAGACACATGTTGAAGATGAGGGCTAATGGCCACCAGTTACTCTTGGGGAGATTTTGGCTGGACAAAAGAGGAAAATTTTTCACAATGCTAACAATCAGCCGTTGGAATAAATTCCCCAGGGAAGTGGTGGATTGCCCAAAATTGGGCACTTTTTAGATTTGGCTGGACAGGGCATTGGGCCATCCTGTCTAGACCGTGCTTTTGACAAGAAAGATTGGACCAGGTGGTCTTTGAGGTCCGTTCCAACCTCATATTCTATGATTCTATGAAATTTGGTGGCATAAATTTTGGAGCAAGGTGTATTGGTCAAGAAAGGCTATATTTTCTCTTTTCCAACGTTATATGCAGATACATGATTTTAGCATGTGTAAATAGTTGAAATTGAATATGGACCAGAGTTTCACCGTCATATGAGCATAAGTGCAATAGCAAGAATACATTATCAAAGATACAATGTCTGCTTAAGATTTTTACAGTTGTAACCGTTGAAAATCTTGGCACACTGATGTTTTTGTAACTGTAAAAGAAATATAATGTGAAAATTGAGTTAAATGCTGAAACATTTATGATTTGCACACACCTCAGGCACAGCTTCAAATTGTAGCGTATTTCTTTAAAAGAAGGGAAATACATATAGCATGACTAGATAATGATAAACACTTTTAATGTCCGAAATGCCCTGGTTTCATTAGTGTCTGTTTTTAAGGTGCCTGTATTTTGCAGTAAGTTGTTGCAAAAAGAATAATGCTTATTTATTTGAATGCCATTCAAAAATGCCAATTATTAGCAGCGTAAAAAAGCTTCACATTAATTTCATTGGTGTAGATATATTTTTAAACTGTAGCTAGTTGAATGAATTTTCAAATGTAATCATAAGGTAAAAGATGTGGTCAAATTCATTAGATCTTTGGAAGTTTTATTAATTTAAAATGTTGCTTTATTGCAGTTTGTCTTAAGTCTTTACCACTTGGGAGGTTTCTTATGCGCTTATTGAAAAGTTAGGTTGAAAACTGAAAGAGAACATGTTTCTGTCATAAATTCTTTGTAACGCTTAAAAAATGGACATCCGTTAAAGCAGTTAGGAATGATTTATTCTGAAAAGTAAATTTTCATGAATGAGGTGTTCTACTAATTTTTAAAAATAGTCTTTGTTTTCTGAAGTAACTGTTAATGGGAATCTAACTACCTCCTGTGATTTAGTACATCATGTGTTCTAACAGTAGTGGTATTTGTAATATATTGATCTGCCTGTTTTAAAACACTGAATTGTTACTATGAAGGAGAAAAAATACTCTATTTGTATAGAAGTAATTATATTAATAAACTGGCAGACATAAAATAATCATCAGTTCTGTTCTTAGGTGAATACACTGAACGACAGTCATGCCCACATGTATTCAAGCTCATGCAATTTCCAGATTACCTGTAAGAGGGCATTTTTTTAAGTTTGTGTGTTTTGTGTGTTGTGAAAGCTGGTTCAAAATCTTATGGCTGTGTCAGAGACTGGAAGTTGAGAAAATTAAGACTCTTTTTATGTAGATTGTTCTTTAGGAACTTTATGTTAGCACTTATTTAATTTATTTTAAACCTACTTAGAAATGCTATCCTGAATTCAGCCTTATATGAAAGGAGTTGTATATGTTCTTGGACACCCATCCATATGACTGTTCTTAGACTTGATATTTCTATTTTTAGAATTTGTATCTCATTAATTGCTCAAAAGTATATTTGTAAAAATCTTTGGATGAAATAAGGTCCAAGTTCTTTGTTTAACTCTTGAAATGTCACTGCAAAGGGATCTAATTCAGTGCTACTGGAAAAATTATAGAAGGAATGTTTGGTTTTCTGGATGCTTATGAAGTATCCTCACCTAGCCCCTGCTGACTTCAGAGAATCGGATTGAACCTTCTTGGGGCCTGTTTTTTCTCCTCTCAGAAATCAGTGGAATGGCTGCAAACAGATTTTTTGGTGGGAACTTGGTCAGGATTTTATATACAAAAGCTAAATAGTCCCTGGTGTAAGCCCTCTGCAGTTTTCTTTGGGATACAACTTGCAGAGTTGACTGTATAAATTAATGGCAGTGGGATTTCAGTTGCTAACAGAAATTCTGAGCTCATTGAGGTGGGAATCCACTGATGGGTTTTTTGCTGTTGCAATGGAGTAATGGAGTAACTAGTGAGTGCTTTCTGAAAGCATGGTAATTAGTGCTCTGAAAATGTCTCAAGAGTTCTTCTCTGGATTGCACTTGGAGATCCCCAGTGTCACCTGCTCCCTGGATGCTGGGTGTTTTAAGTAAGGAGTTGGTAAGTGAAGTCAGGTTTCATCCATAGCGTTCACTGATGACCAACAGTTACTCTTGCTCTAATTATGTACAATTTATAGGCCAATAAATCTAAAGTGTATTTTGAAAAGTAATTATAAGTTCATATGACTAAATCCAGAAGACTTTCAACCAAGAAATACAGAATACAACTATAAAAGAACATTGTAGAAATAAGGGATATGCTTGCACAGCATTTACTGTGTACTTGAGCTAGTTTAAAATTAGTTTGGTTACTGCTAATACAAACACTGCTCATCTTGCTTGGGGTCCACATGCCTAAGGATTTAGCCCACTCCAGAGAGGTGGTTTCCATCCCTGGAAATATTCAAGGTCAGGTTGAACAGGGTTCTTAGCAACCTCGTCTAGTTGTACGATGTCCCTGCTCACTGCAGGGGGGTAGATGACCTTTAAAGGTCCATTCCAATCCAAACTATTTTATGATACTAGGTGATTCCCAGTCAGATTGCGGCAATTCTTGCTACTATAGCTCTAGTCCCAACAGTACCACAGCTAAAAAAAGTTTAAACCAGCTTTGATATGTTTAAACAGTGACTGTACTCTAGGCTAATAATGGTGTTCTTGCATCACATTTGATGTTCCAGATTAGGTGATTTGAAGTATAACTGCCTTGCAAACAGTGCTTTTCGGAACTGAATGTTGGCATGTTTATTCTGTCAGTATATAATCATATTTATTTGCAGCTAAAGAATGTCAATTATGTATTTATTATTTCGCTTTCTGCATTACTGAGCAGTTAGGGTATACTTCTGTTTCATCATCATTTCTGCAGTTTTCTCTTCATCTGTGAACACCAAAAAAAAAAAACCAGAACACAAAAGAATCACCCAAGTTAAGTATAAATATTTGAATATTTTCATGTCAAAGATTTAAACCAGTGAAAAGAATCCATACAAGTTATAATGAACTTTGAGAAGCAGGAGTGAAAATAGTAGCTACTTTAATACTGTGCCCGTGTTGGATTTCCTAGGAAGTATGGATAGCAAAAGCTCTAGTCAAACTTTGTACTCCTTCTATATTTGTAGTTCTGTTTTTTCAGTTGTTTAAAAATATACATATTCTAATATCTATATTGGGATATGAGTCATCTGAACTCCACTTAAGAAAGGTGCATCTCTTAGCAGTGAAGTGAGGGAGTCTTTTTATAAGGGAGGTTAAAGGATATGCGTCTTCTAGTCTGTGCTAATAGTGACACTTTGGTCAAACTATGATCTGTTTCATTTTTTAGGTACAATGACATGTTAAGAAACAACAAACTTTATACTACTGTAACTTACACTACTGGAAAAACCTGCCTTTATTTTGCAATCACACATGTGTAAAATAGTCACTAACAGTATTAATGGGAATGGCAGAAAGCTGCTATCTTTTCCATGTTTAGTCTTGCTATTTTAAACCATAGCAATGACAATGATTTTTACATATGAAGTATTAAAAAAGTGATTACTCTGATTTTCTGTAATTATGATAATTTGTATTTCATTAATTTATCTTGGAATACTGTAAATGTTTTGTGAAAAATACAGTATTTTGTTCCAATTTTCATTAATGCTTTAATTCCTTGCAATCTGAGGGGCATTTACATTACCAAATAGGATCACTTTATGAAGAAAAACTTTTTTTGAGGCTTCTTAAAGAAATCTGACCTATTCATTACAGACAAATATGTGCATCTTAATTAATAACAAAACCACTAGTTAGGGTATATATGGTCTCCTAGCTTTTAATTTTTCTTTAAAATTCAGGAAATGGTTAATTATTTCAGAGAAACTTATTTGTGAATTTTGTAAACTTATTGAAATTTTTACATTCTTTTTTCCTAATGGGCTCTGCAGGAATATGTACTGCTTCATGGCAGTTCTCTAATACTAGCTGTGCCTCTAATTAAGTAGTCTAGTCTGAAGCTGAGACACTCCTACACCGTTTGATTATGTTAACAGAAACACATCATTCCTAGCAAAAAAGCACGTTGAACTAGATCCCTTTCTAATACATTAGTTGCTGTCATTGATGATGTTGCATTATATATATTTCTTTATTTC